TTCTAAATAGAACAGTAGTAAACTAAGTGCTATACAGAGGTTGCTCTTACCTCTTCTCCATCTCTCAACTTCAGCAAATATTAACTTCTACACTCTTCCCTACCCCAATTATTATTTTTAAGATTTTTTTATGTGTATGAACGTTTGGCTGCATGTATGTAGGTGTACCACCTGTGCCCAGAAGAGGACATAGAGTCCCTTGGAACTGGAGTTACAGATGGTTGTGATGTTTTTTCTATCATCTTTTTCTCAAATCTTCACCTAGATCTCATTTTGCTTAGTATAGATTATGCAGTTAAATTTTAAGCTTAATGACCCTGTCCCCCTTTGGTGCTTAGACAGTTCTATGACTTTGTGACATTGCCAGGTGACTTTGTGGACACTGTTTTAGGGGGTTTGGTGACATGAGATGAGTAAGACTCACTCAAGTGCCTCCACAGACAACTCGGCTGTGAAAAGTAGACTGGGGGTGGCAACAGCAGAGCTTTTCTTCTTGGAGAGCACAGTGATTCAGAATGACTCAGTTTTCCAGGACTTTGATGGGGGCCTCAGCTGTAGCAAAGCCCCAGTAAAGCTCCTTGAGGGCAGGAGTGATCGACTGCTTCATTCACTGCTCAGCATGTCCCCAGCACCTAAGGAGGACACTGCCTGGCCTATAGCAGATGCTTCATAGCCATGGACTGGCCTGGGAGTGGAGGGTCCAGTATCATATTCCGGGGCAGCAGTGTGTATGCCAGATTGATCACTGTGGGCCACAGATGTAACTTGAAAATTCTCAAGTCCAAGTCTATTTGATGACAAAACAAACAACAGAAATAAAACTCGCATAAGAGGACTTTCACCTCACCATGAAGTAGGGTTAGCATATCTTGAAAACACAGCTTGCTCTCTCCACGTCTGCTAGCTTTAACTGCTTTGCAGCTCTGAATACATGTTTCCAGTATGTCCACAGTGGCAATCTGATCTTTCCAAGGCTTTTCCCCTCCTTCATATTTATTGACTCTCTCTCTCTCTGTGTGTGTGTGTGTGTGTGTGTGTGTGTGTGTGTGTGAGAGAGAGAGACAGAGACAGAGACAGAGACAGAGACAGAGAGACAGAGAGTGTTAGTGCTTTTCTTCCACCATGTGGGTTCCAGGGATCAAACTCAGCTCATCAGGCTTGTTGACAAGGGCCTTTACCTACTAAGATATCTCACCAGCCCTTCGCCAAAGCTTTTTCCTAGAATTTCAAATTAAGAATCCATCCAGTAAACTGCTCATGGTAGCATGGACCTGTAATCTGTAATTGCATCACTTGGGAGGTAGAGGCAGAAGAATCAGTAGTTCAGGGTCATCCTTGGTTACACAGCAAGTTGAAGGGCAGCCTGGGCTACATGAGACCTGTCAGAAGAAAGAAGAAGGGAGGGAGGGAGGGAGGGAGGGAATATCCATCCACTCTGACTTTGTGTTTATCAAAGAAATACAAGACTTAACTCCCAAGGGCTCCTTAGCATTGGCACATGCAGAGCTCATCACTGTCTCCTAGTCCATCTTACTTGTGGGGCTCTGAGAAGCTAGTACTCAGGGTACCTCCTGATCCTCTCCCTCACTCTTGCCAAAAGCAAATTTGAAGCAGGGCTTGAACCCCTGGAGGGCCCTCCAGATCTCACATCTACAACCAAGTTCTTGACTCCATGGCTTTTTCAGTGCCTGCTGGTTAGGATTTGATCATGTCATGTTTCAGGGGCAGATGAAGCACAGGATGATTTGAGCTTTTTTTCCATTTTTTCTGTTTTGGTTCATTGGAGGATATATATTATACATGAAACTGTAAGTGTGGTATTTGTGTGAGTATAAAATTTCAGAGATGACTTCATGGTCTACACACAGATATACCTCTGTGACACCTCTCTTTGGTCATGGAGGGGATCCTGTAGGTTGTCCTAGTGAGTGACAAACACAGGGGAGAAGTCAGTGGATATGAATGGTGAGGTGCAGGGTGCCTTCTGCACAGCTCTGAAGCAGACTGCAACCTGGATCTGAGAGGAATGTCAGTTTGCTTACAGGCAATGTGTCAGTGGCTATTCTGTGACTTAGTGTGGACATCCTCCAGTGCTAGTGCCCCTAACCCTGACCAGTATCTATTGCCTGTTTCCCCCACAGGACGTGAGTGACCGGATAGAAAAGGAGTCCTTGGATGGCCCAATAGTGAAGCAGTTAGAGAGAGGTGGGAGAGCTGTGGTGAAGATGGACTGGCGGGAGAACATCACTGTCCCCCTGCAGACAGGTGACCATGCTGAATCTCAGGAGGAGTCATTTCAAAGCTGCAGCTATTTCTAAGAAGTTGGTGTGGACGAGATAGCTTCAGGCTGTTAGAGTTCCAGATCCCACTTCTCGGGTTTGAAGACTTAACTTGAGTGTGTCCTTCTGGGCTTGGTTACATGGTGTGATGATTATGCTTTAGAGTGTGACAAGTGAGTGATAGTGTTGTGCTCTAAGGTGTCATTGTTGAACTGAATGGACTTTAGGTGAGCACCACATTTTGGTCCAAGATGTGGCATCTGTCCCCATGGCTGAATCAGCAGGTCACTTCAATTCAGTTGCTTATTCCCCAAGGCTGAAGTAATTTTCTTTCAAAAATTTGTTTACTTATTTAACCATTGCAAACCTAAATGTTTTCCTAGATCTGCGTAAATTCAGAACCTACAAAGGTGGCTCCGTCAGAGATCTCCTCCGAGCCATGAGAAATAAGGTAAAGGCTGATGAGTATGTAGGGGAGGCGACCATAGCCAACACCACCTCCTTATTTTCATTTCTGTGGAGACTTTTCTCGTAATGGATTCCACCTGGTAGAGGCTGGGCAGCCTTGGCTATACCTGACGAGTAAAAAGGCCATTTCTGTGCTGGAGAGATGGCTCAGCGGTTAAGAACACTGACTGCTTTTGCAGAGGACCCAAGTTCAATTCCCAGCACCCACATGGTAGCTCCGAACTGTCCTTGACTCCGGTTCCAGGGGAATCCAGAGCCCTCTTCTGACCTCCGCAGCATTGTGTGACACGGGTGCACTCACATACATGCAGGCAATACACTCATACACATAAAAATAAAAATAAAGCAAAATTTTAAAAAGGCCATTTCTTTCCTGAGGGAGGTTTCTCTCCAGGGACTTTGGGGTGCAAAGCTAAGCTCAAGCGACCAGCCTCTCAGAGCAAATGCCCTCTCTGCCTACCTGACAGCCACTTTACAAACACTCTGACAGTGACCCTTTCCTACATGAGACCAAGTCCCTAGGGATTCAGGGAAGGGTCCCTGTGTGTTCCTGTGAGGCTGAGGGAACGCTCTTGAATTGTGCTTTGACCAGGCATCCTTCCCACAGGGCCAACCCTCAGGCACAGGCACAGCCTCCAAACCTCTTGGGACAGACACTATAATTCTAGGTGACTGCATTCCATTTGCAACTGTTAGAGCACTTTCTGGGTCCTGACCTTCAAGAGAGACCTGTGTACCTGCCAGGTGGCCAGTCCCACAGCAAAGCTCCACCTGCTCCCACTAGGCTGAGTCTCACTTGCTTTGAGCCCTGTTTCTGAAGGAGGAACACCTGCAAGACAGCCAAGCTGGATCACTGGCTGCATAACTTTCTTTGAAGAGAAGCAGGTAGTACTGTCACCCAGCTGCTAAACTTCTGTCTTTCTGCTCCTTTACAGAAGCACCACTACCGAGAGCTCCCTGTGGAGGTTCAGGAGACACTGGGTTCCCTCCCTGATGACTTTGTGCGCTACTTCACTTCGCGCTTCCCCCACCTCCTCTCTCACACCTACCGGGCCATGGAGCTCTGCAGCCAGGAGAGACTCTTCCAGCCCTACTACTTGCATGAGCCCACGGAGCCCCAGCCCCCAGTGACTCCAGATGCCCTCTGAGCCGGGGCAGCCCCTCTGTCTGATGGCCCCAACTGTGACCATGGGCCTGATCTCCACAATCCATACCTTGCTGCTTCCCGGCTCAGCAAGAAGACCAGGCTTTTCAAACCAAGTGCCTTGAGCTGCCGCTCTGCAGCCAGCCAAGGATAATGCTGATTGCAGGAAGCAGGAGAGGTGGCCCCTCATGACTGTGGGGAGCTGAGACATGTGGCCCTGAAGCTTTATAGTCAGGGATGTCTACAAAAGAGGGCCCATCCCAGAAGCTGGAAAGGAACACCACCAGCCTTTGGCTGGATGAACTCACTTCTATTTGTATTCCTATCTAAAACTCCTGGGATAGAAGTTCAGTGAGGGAGTGGAGGAATCCTGTTTTGCCTGCATGCTGGGAGCAGCCTGACTGATGCAGCAAGTGCAGCCTCTGCTAGAGGTAGTTCGAGAGATGTGGGGTCCTGAAGAAGAGGGCAGAAAGAGGCGTTGTCCTGGGGACAGGAAGCAGGCATCTTCAGGTTATTGGTAGCCTGTATTGCCACAGGCAGCAAAGCTGTGAGCATGGGGCATGAAGTTAGAGACTGGTTAGCAACACATATGGAAAACTGAGGTGTGTCTGTGGGTCCGGAAGATGGAGAAGACACTCAGTTCTGGATGCAGTACTGGCCCAGCATACAAGTGTCCTGAACAGTGACCCAAACAGTAGTAGCCACTGATAGATTATATCCTTGGCCATGTGGGCTAGGGATGAAGAGTTCCTGACAACCATGAAGGGCAGCTAAGACTGAGAGGGACAGGGACAGTCCTTCAGGACCAGAGGAGAACAGCTAGAGAGAGCTTCCCAGTCACCCAGAAAAGGCTCTGAACCAGAGGGTAGGCGAATTAAGGCCTGTCTGTCCCAGAGGCCAGCACATCAGCACAAAACTTTGAGTCAAAGCCCTGGGAGTAGAGAGCTAGGACCAGGGTCACCACAGGCTTTATAGGCCAGCTTTTATGTTTCCCCTGGCAAATTTTAAAGAGTATATTTTGATCATACTATAGAAAGCTACGTTTGCATGAGTAAGCTAAATGTAACTTTAAGCTTACTTGTGAAAAAGAAATGCAAGATATAGTATCTTTTATTGTGTGTGGTACCAAAAATCACCCTCCCCTCAAGAACATTCTCTAATGCTGGAGTAAGACATCCTGGCAGCACTGTAAATGTCTTCATGTCAAAGTAAATTATATAATACCTTTTTCCTTAATATAAGTTTTTAACTTTAGTTTTAGTCAGAATTTGCTGTCTTCTCTCTCCCAAGAGCCTTAGAGGTTAGAATACAGTCAGGGTACATGGCAGGGGCAGGGGGGATAGTCTGTGTATACATCCTCCAGCCAGTGAGGGGTCACTACCTGGTGGTCCTGGAGCACCGAGGCCCCATTCCTTTCTGTGGTAAGGGTGGTATAGGCAGCTTTCCGCGGCACACTTGCAGGAGGCACTGCTGCTTCCTGTGGGTGTCCCCTGGTGTCAAGGCCACTGGCCCAAAGCTTCCTCTGCCTCTGTAGAATTCGATTTCCTTTCACAATAGCCAAAGTGGGCTTTTTCTTAATGATTCTACATCTTTGAACCTCGTGGGTTCAAAGACCTTGGACCCTCAGCCCCATAGTTGACTTCCTGCACATCTCCTACCATAGCACTTTGCCAGTGAGCCCAAGAGGTATAGCCCAAGACCAGTGTCAGGAGGCAGAGCGGGTGCCAAGTGTGGTCTGACAAGATTGCTCTGGGCTGCTGCTTTCCTTCCTTGGTCCTGGTGGCTAAGTTTTCCCTTTGGGGACTGTTGAAGTCTTTTCTAAGACCCATCTTGGTGTTACCTCCCTATTTGAACCCGATTTTCTGAAGTCAGCTTCCCAAATGCCTTTTCCACTTAGCAGATTAGTTTCTAACCAATCAAGTTTCTCTAAGTCTTCTTCTAGTCAGCATATTTTATTTGAATACTTTGTAGATCTAGGCAGGACATGAAATGCTTGGGAAACAGATGAAGAGTATGGGAAAGACTGTTGGCTCTTCAGAGCTTCTCATTAAAGTCTGCAGCACGTGTCAGGGCAGAAACCAAGCCCATGTTGGTAAGAAGGGTCTATATTTAGGGTTTGCCCCTCTTGTGCCTTAAAACTGCCCTGTCTGAGAATCAGTCAGCTCTGGTCAGGTCACCTTGTGGCCTCTTCCCCTCATCTTTAGGGGCCTAGGCAGCTGTCAGTCCTCTAGATGTGACTGAAGGTTGTCATGAACGTGCCTTGGGCATCATCAGAGGTGCTCAGGGAAGCTGTCTCTCCAGTTCCTAGAAGGCCACTTAACCTTTTAGAAGTACTGCGTCTTCATCTTTAGGACGGAATTGAGTCCAGTCTGGGACATTATTATTTGTTTAAACCTTGTCTTATGTTGAACTAGACTTTCTCTTGTTGCTTCGTGAGTCTTTCAGTTTTTGGAGTGTGCCATGTATCATTAGGCACTTGCACTTTTGAGAATATAGGTGTCAATTGATAAATCACTAGATCATCTAGTGACGGAAGGTGGCTCCTTGGGTGCAGAGCTGTCCCCTGCTGTGTAGCAGTAGTTGTAGGCTCTTCTCCATGATCAGTTACAGTTGGAGCAGTTGGAGGTCACTGTAGCTGAGTATAGCTGGGTATAGCCCAGTGCTTTTCACCTACTCTTAAGATGGGCTAGGTTAGGCCTTTGGGATTGACTTGACTTTGTAGAGGTTTTATGTGTGGTGATTCCATTATCAGCAGCAGTTCTTTCTCCTGCTGTAAAAGACTAATTAGCTGCGGATGTGACCTGGACTGCTGGATTGCTGGGCTCGCTCCTCCTGACCGCTTTCTGTTCAGTTGTTGGTCTTTGGCCCTGTGTGGTTTCCTGCAGATCCTCTGTGCTTGTTGTCATCATTCATGGCCCTGAGGTACCAGCACAGCTGCCCAGGAAAGGGGTCTTCAAACTCCCTGAAAGCCCTTCTCTGTGATTTGGTTTTCTAACAGTTCTGTACCTTGCCCATCCCTCCACACCTGGAAGCAGTGGTGTTGACTGGCTGGTGGCCTGGCACCGGTGGCCTGGCACTGGCCTCTCCTGAAGGTCATCAGACCTCCTCCTGAGGTCTGAATTCTTCTAAGCCAAAGTGCCTACTCTCTTCCCGTTCTTGTTTTCTTTATGAAATAATGATTTCCTTCATGTAACTTTGGTTGGTTTAGGCACTTAGTCTCTTCTTATTAGAAAGCCACAAAGGGCACATCTGCCCCAACCTCCCTCTGGAGCAGCCCTAATGCTGCTTGCCAGAGGCCTTGTGGCCTCGTCTCCTGCACTCTGTGTTTGGTGGGTACAGTGTTCCTTCCCAGTGTTCCTAAAGCTGTGACGTGGGGAGGGGTCCCCACTCACCTAAGGATTACCTGTCGGCTACACGGCCTTCTCACGCAAACCTTGTGTAATGTTCTTTTTGCAATGACCTATTTATTGAATCTATTTATATTTATTTAATTTTTATTCTGAAGTATATCTGGTTACAATTGCACTTGCTTAAAGCACATCAGATCCGTTTTGGACAATAATCCCTGACCATTTTAAAACTGGAAAAGGAAAAGTTACACTGTATCCTGCCACCTTATGGTAGCCTTGTCTTTAAAGGGTGAATAATTTGGTCGGGGTAAAATGTTTCTTTTTAGATGATTTTTTTAAAATCCTGTGCCATGTGTCTTCTCTGTAGACAGTTAATGTTTAATGATGTGTGTTGATTGTGTGATTCAAGCCTCTTTGTGGAAACTAAAATCCTCTTTTTAGCTTTATATTTTATAAACTGCCAGATTGTACAACTTTTAAGTGTGTTTTTAAAGCTTGATGATATGAGGCTCAGTATCTAAGTTAAATGGCCTATTTTTGTACCTCCTGTACAGTTTTATAATTCTGCTCATTACTGAAGGCAATTTATGTTGAGCCAACCACAAATAAAGGTAGTTTTAGATTTGGGAGTCACTTTTCTGCTTAAAGACTGGAGCTCTGCTCACAGCAAGGGGTTGGACCCACCATCTTTCTTCCGGGGCACAGCATCTATGAGGCCTGAGCAGCTGCCTAAGCCTGTGGGAAAGTGGCTGCCTGGTGTCCACAGTTGGATTCAGGGGCCAGTACATCCTCCTTAGGGGATGTTTATAGGAAAAGCTCCTTTGAAATGTTGCAGGAAGTTCCCTAAAGTATTATGTGGCCAATTTTCAGGAAGGTGATCCATTGAAACTGACCTGCTACATAGTGGGGATTAGGCTCTGAAGCAGAGTCCAGGGTGTGTATACAAACAGTTGGATTCTGGACCAGGACACCCAGGAGGGAGAACCTGTGAGTAACTCCACCCATAAAGTTCTGGGGATGCAGGGCAGCCTCACCTGGATCATGTCAACAGCTCCAAAGACATCCCCACATACCAGGGAATGCGCTTAGTATGGCCTGCGGATGACTTAGGGTTCTTTCAACACACTCCCCATACTCATCCTGTCTGGAGACATCAAGGAGGTTTCTAGTGCTCTTGCCTCAAGACAAGGGCTGCTCACAAAGGAAGGACCCCAAGAGCCCACCAGCCCCCAAACAGCTTTGCAGGAACTCTACCGATGCTGACCATCCTCTTCCCCTTCATGCCTCAGGGGGTCTGGGAATCAGTGGACACATCTTCCTTCAGAAGTACCAAGTCTTGAACCCAGCTACATCCCAGGAGACTGAGACCAGCCTCTTCCATGATGAGGAACAGAGCTAGAGCTACCTGCCCAGATGCAAGGCACAGGAGGCAGGAGGGCGAAGGGCAAAGGGTGAAGGGAGGCCCATGATAACTACAAGTGCAGCTGTCTAGAGATGCTGGGTTCTAATCAGACACCAATAGAGGCTGAGAGAAGGTGGGAGAGCCCAGGCTTCTCAGGGCCCAGCTCTGGTTTCTGCCATTTTTCTTCCTCAGGACTGGAGAAGGAAAGCCAAAGGGAGTTCTGGTGTGAGATAGAGGAGGCTGGACTTGAATTCCAAAGACTGGCTCTCACCCTATAGGGCCATCTTCATGGCAGTGGCCAGGAGAGACACTGTGCCTCCAGTGAAGTTTTCTCTTTGTTCTCAGGGTTTCAAGATGGCAGGCTGGGCTCTCTCAGTGGCCTCCCTCTATCCCTCACCAAGCTCACCAAGGAGGGAAGAAATGGAAGGGTGGTCATGCCCAAAGATGAATGGACCAGAATAAGGGATCACTGAGATAGTCATAGCAAATGTGACTAGGTCAAACGGAAACCAACCCTGGAGCAAGGGAATGGAGAGGTGGTAATGATGCCACAGAGATGAGGTTAACCTAGAGGGTACCCCACCCCGGTTGGGTTGCTCCCCATGAGTGAGCTGGATACTCATATGGAATCAAGCTTTCCTAGGATTTCCTCCCCTAGCCACCTGTCAGACACAGAGCAGTTTGGAAGATGCCCATTTTGAGTAAAAGTAGGAGCTTGGGGTCTGGTAAGAGACTAGTCACACCCCCAAACAGGAACATCAGCCACTGGTGTCCCCATCAAGGAGCCTATCCCACATACTCCTGTACTCACTAAACATGGTATAAAATGTGGGCCCAAGGGCAGCTCCAGGCCCACACAGGGGCAGGGGCTAGAATCCTCCTCCCCTGAGATCCAGCTGTCACCTGAGGCACAGGAGATCTCCATGATCCTGCAAAGAGGCAAAACTGCAGGATGGACTCCACAGAGGACACAGACTAGGAAACGGTGTCTTCATGGGGGGAAAGTGTCACATTCACAGGAAATAACCTCAGAAATCAACAGAGACGCGGTCACGGTTGAGGAACACAAGGACAAGTTCATTGTAAGATCCACCGGAAGCCTGCTGCTCAGAGCAACAAAGGAAGGCTCCGCTTGAGAGGAGGCGTGGCAGCCACAGTGGGAAAGGACACAGAGGATGCAAAGAAGGCACAAGAAACAGCAGAAAAGCCAGGTGAATGGAAGATCAGTGAAAGCCCCAAAGTGACCCGCAAGGAAAATGTTAGTAAAATTACCCAAGAAAACAACCCCTCAAGAGAGTAGAGGGAGATAGAACTGAAGAAAAACCAGCATCAAGATGACAATTGCAAGTCAGTAATCCTAAAATAAAGGGAACCCAGCTGGGCGTGGTGGCACATGCCTTTGAGGCCAGCCTGGTCTCCATAGTGATTTTCAGGCCAGCTGGGGCTATAGGGAGACCTTGTCTCAGAAAGACCAAAACCAAACAAAAAACAAGGACAAATTTTTAAAATACCCAGACCTGTACAATCCCCTCCCAGATACCCATGCAAAGGACTCCCCCACACCCCAGTGGGCCCCCTCTCACCTCTTCTGATCCTGATCCACAAAGGCCTGTTAAAGTTTGGTTGGTCCCCAGAATGATGCTACTGGGAGGTGGTTAGACCTTTATGAGGTAAGGCATAGCGGGGGTCTTCAGGTCATTGGGAGTGTACCCTTGAGATTTGGGGACACTTCCACTCTGATTCCTAGCCACAAGATAAGCAGTTCTTTCTGTGACCTCTGTGGCTAGAGAGGCTGCCTGCAAGCGAGATGGGAAGGAGACAGGTTCATGCAGCAGAACTCAAAGGTCCCATCACTGTCACTGGGCCAGGATCCCAGAACTATCACTTCCACCCCTACAACCAAGAAAGGTCATCCTAGTCTCCACTGTGCCCCTCCTTCCCTGAGTAATAATCTAGCATGGATTGTCGGTGAGGTACAAAGGAAGCTGGGAAAGCAAGTGTCCAGCACTGTCCACACCATGGTGGGAGTTCACAGCCTTCCCAAGGTGGGGGATTCTCCCAATACACGAAGGGGTCAGCTGCCAGGATGCCCAAACTGCCAGACTGAGACCACACACTCTAATGGCTGTGTTTGCACTAGGAGTGGTCATTAACAAAAACAGATCAACCTTTCCTACACTTCTTGGATTTTGGTCTTTACTGCCTATAACAAACCAAGCAGCTGCCTTTGGAATCCTCTAAAGAAACAGTTTATTTCCTTTTCTGAGTTCCCAGCTGAATGCCATGCAGCAGGGATTAAAGAGCGAGGGAAGCTGCCAGGTGTGGTGGTGCAGGCCTTTAATTTCAGCACTCAGGAGGCAGAGGCAGGCAGATCTCTGAGATTGAGACCAGCCTGGTCTACGTAGCAAGTTCCAGGCCTGCTGGGCAACAGGGAGACCCTGTCTCAAAAAAAAGAAGGAAAGGGGAGACTGAGGCAGGAGGATTGCCACGAATCCATGTAGATCACTTTTTAAAAAAAAATACTCTTTTTCTTTTTTTAAATATTTAGGGGCTGGAGAGATGGCTCAGCGGTTAAGAACACTGGTTGTTCTTGCAGAAGACCATAAAATATAAAATTAAAAAATTAAAAAAAATTTTTTTTGGTCTTTTTGAGACAGATTCTCCCTGTAGCCCCAGCTGTCCTAGAACGCACTATGTAGACCAAGCTGGCCTTGAACTCACAGAGATCCACCTGCCTCTGCCTCCCGAGTGTTGGGATTAAAGGCGTGAGCCACCACGCCCGGCCTTATTATTTTTATTTTATGTGTATGAGTGTATTGCCTGCATGTAGGTAAGTGCAGCCGTGTCGTGCAGTGTCCATGGTGGACAGAAGAGGCTGACGGATCCCCTGGGACTGGACTTAGGAACAGTTGTTAGCTGCCATGTGGGTACTGGGATTCGAACTCTGGTCTTCTGCAAGAACAACCAGTGTTCTTAACTGCTGAGCCCTCTCTCCAGCCCCCCATGTAGATCACTCTTAAAAACAGTTCCGCAGACTGGACATCGTGGCTCACACCTGTAATCCCAGCCTGTGGGAGGCTGAGGCAGGAAGATTACCAGAGGGGTCAAGACCAGCTTGGGCTATACAGTGAGATCCTGGCCGGCCTATCTACAGGGTAAGATCCTGTCAATGAACCGTCTCCCAGGATCCCATTTGCTTTTAAATCTAGCTGTGGAATAAATGAATGCTTGCTGCAGCCATGTTGCGGGGGGAGTGTGATTCTCATGCCCTTTAGATTAGATGACAGGACACTTGCCCATTCCACCACTAGATGGTGCTCATGTGCAGGCCCATTCCTCCTGTGAGCCAAGCCTTCAGCGTGGCCAGAGGATAACCAGCCTGGCTGCTGACCTACTCCATACTCCACAAGGGTCCTGTGAGATGAGGCTGGGGTCCAGACCAACGAAGACCAATGAACCTGGCTTCCTAAATACGATTCTTCCATTAGCTGATACTTTTCTAATGCTTAGTCATAAGCTATTCTCATTAAGGACTGACCAGAGGAGGTGAGATGGCTCAGTGCTTAAGAACACTGACTGCTCTTTCCACAGGACCCAGGTTCGATTCCTGCACCTGCATGGTGGCTAACAAATGTTTGTAACTCCAGTTCCAGGGGATCTGACACCTTCTGGCCTCTGCGAGCTTTGTGTGATGGGGGCACTTAAATACATGCAGATAAAAACTCATACACATAAAAAAATAATTAAAAGGACTGACAGAAACAGAAGGATTATTGGGAACAGGCTATTCAGGAACCCCTTGTACAATGGGGATGTTCTCCAAGCTGGGCATTCTGTGAGCCACTGCAATAAATAGCACATGTGCCACAATGTCTTCGAGCTTACAAGGACACAGATAGGTGCCTGTCCAGATACCAACTGTAACAGCCATACCTCATTGAATGCTTACTATTTACCAAACTCTCCATCAATGTTTTACAAATTATCTGTGTAACCCCAGCTTCCAGACTGACCCATAACCTTTTGTAAATTTTTTTGATTTCTTTATTTTTATATTATGTGTATGAATGTTTTTCCCTTATCTATGTGAGTGCACCAAATGCATGCAGTGCCCATGGAGGCCAGAAGAGGGTGTCAGGTCCCCTGGAATCGGAGTTTTTAGTATTTCATTACAGCTTTAACATATTCAGTAACACATTCCAGAACAAAGATACATCTCT